GGAAAACTGGCTATTTTAATTCCTTCACACATCCATCTCCTCCCAATATAAATTCAAAAAATGATCAGTGCTTTCATAAAGTTACTGTCCACTTTTTGTAAAGCCTGGTTATGCAAGACTAAAATATGTCACGGATCACTTCATATACCCTAAACCTGCAATTTAGCTTAATATTCCCACTAAAAGAAGACTGTGTCACTTGTGCTGTGATTCTGGGTCAAAAATACGTTTTTACAGCTAATTATACTTTTCTTTTCAGAAAAGCCAAAGGAAAGGAAAGTGAATATTGCCAGTTTTCACCTGCTATATAACAAACCCATCATCTACCAAATGCAAACACCAGCCATCATGAGGGCCAGAGTCCTATTCACTCTCAGCCCAGTGACTTGCACTTATAACATGCCTCCTGAGTGTTTTGTTCTCTCTACTCAAGTAACAGCTGGCCACAGCCTTTTAGAATCACTCTGAAATAAAAGTATGAACTCCAGTGGCCAATGTTGTAGCATGGATTAAGCCACGACTTGAGAGATCAGCAGCCTATACTGGAGCACTGGTTCAAGTTCTGGTTGTTAATGACCCCCAGGAAGGCAGCAGAAGATGGCTGGGCCCTCCCACTCAAGCAAGAGGGAGATCTGGGCAGAGTTCCAGGCTTATGGCTTTAATTGGTCCATGTGGAAAGTGAAGCAGGGAATAGACAATCTCTTTCTCTCTGTCACTCTACCTTTCAAATAAATAAATCTTAAAAACAAATAAATGAACAAACAAAAAAACAAAAAGCAAAGTCCTTAAGTGTTGACTTAAGGATTACTGACTACTGACACCATGACTACTGACCTCTAAATTTTTGGCTACATAGATCCTTTTTCAGAAAGTGCAATTTACTTATAAATTACATATAAATCGCAAATGTTATAATTTAAATTATAAATTATGCATAAAATTTCATAGAGACATCCTAAGATCCCCCCTGCCCCATATTCCAAAAGAGATCATTCAGTGATTCATTTTGGTGGCTATTCACCTATTTCAAAAAACGTCATAGCTTAGAACCTGATTTCAAGACTCATGCAAAGCCTAGGAACCTCTTCCTTCTTCCATTACTAGCTCCCACTGGTTTCTGCTTGTTCCTTCTGTACACCTGTGTGGATAAGGCAGTATGGCAGCTACACAGGCTCTGTGATCAGCAGTTCTGGGTTCAAACCCCAGCTCTGCCATTTGCCACTAAGCCTCTTGGAGCCTGACACCACTAAGTGCTCATAAGTGGTGGCTTTCATCCTAAGTAGTCACTGTCACAGAACCTCAAAACGATCAATTCATAGTTCTGACTTGAGACTTCAAACCACTTTCACTCAAAAACATTTGAGGACATTCCTATCTAGACCCTGAACTTTGATCTCCCTCCAGGCCAACACAAAAATGGAAGGGGAAAAACAGTAACAACAACAACAACAAAATCACAGCAGCCTAGTTTGTTGGCTACTTTTCCAACTAAAAAGGTAACTGGGTGACAGGCATTTGACCCAGTAGTTAAGACAGACACTAACATGCCATATCAGAGTGCCTGGGATCAAAAACCTACCTCCATCTCAGTTTTTGTTCCCTGCTAATATGGACCCCAGGAGACAGCTGTGATGGTCCGAAAAACTGAACTGAGTTCCAGCTCCTAGCATGAACCTAGTCCAACCCTAACCTGCAGGAATTCAAGGAGTAAACCAGTGGATGACAGGGTACATGCGTGTACACACACACATGCTACCTCTCAAATCTAAAAAAAATTATAAAGGTAATAGAAAATATTATAGAAATTGAGCTTTTCTTGAATAGTAAATCACCAAGTGCTAAGCAGTTTAGAACATACAAGACACAATTATTCTTACCATTCTAACATTATCACTTCCTTCTTTCTCTGCCTTGACAGCTCCAGTACTCCGGATAACTGACCCTACAACAAACCTGCTCCAGCATTCAGAGCAAATGAAGAGCTGCAGACAGCACAAAAAAGAGCGGATTACCTTGATCAGGGAAATCTGAAGGCTAATAGTCTTGCCATTCTTCAGCAGATCTTGCAGTTTTCTGCTATGTAGAATGTTGTCCACATAGACCCAAAGCCTTTCAACAATATCTTCCCTCAACTCAAGTTTCTTCTTATAAAATGCCACCAATGACTGTCTCGCCCAATCAAGTAATACCTAAATTTGGAGGAAACACAGTCTGCAAACCAACCTCTTTTATAAGAAAATGGTGATCATAATTGGGACATTTCAGCCACAATCAAATGTAACTGCTAAGAAAAAGTTCTGTAGATTTTACCTTCAGTAACACTACTTGAATATTTTGGTAACTTAAAATGCCTAGAATTAAGGAATAAAAGGGGTTAAAAAAAAAAAAAGCACTAATTCTGTTTTCAACTAAGACCAAAAAAAAAAAAAAATCAGGAGAGTAGCATGCTTTATTCCCTTTCCTGAAGTCTCTTCATATTTTTTTTAAAAACATATTTATTATTTATTTGAAAGAGTTACAAAGAAAGAGATGAAGAAAGAGATCTTCCATCTGTTGGTTCACTCCCCAAATAGCAGCAATGGCTGGAGTTGGTCCAAAGCCAGAAGCCAGGAGCTTCTTCCAATCTCCCAAGTGGTTCCAGCAGCTCAAGCACTGGGACCATTCCTTTGCTGTTTTCCCAGACACATCAGTAGGGAGCTGAATAGAAGTGGAGCAGCTAGGATTTGACCTACACGGGTCACCAGCGCTGCAGAGGTGGCCTTATGCACTATGCTATGGCGCCATCCTACTAAGTTACATCATAGACTAAAAAATCCAAAGCATGGGGTGCCATCGACATTGGTCCAAATAAAGCCACTGTCTGCAACAAACTGGCTGCCAGGCCTTCCCAGTCTTGCCCTGGCCAGGAGACCAGGAAGCTGCCAGGTCAGTTTAGACACCACCAAGGCTCTCAGCTCCCCCACCTGACATGTTCTGTGCTACCTTCTTAAACACCAGCCGGGGGATGTAGGCTAATCATCAGTGTTCAGTTATCAGCTTCCCTTTTTAACCAGATGAGCTTCAGAAACATCGACAAAGCACACTTTCTTGGTGCCTAGCCTATTTCCAGAATGCCTTTACACAAACACTCTGCTCCACTTCCTAAGCTTGTATGTCAAAGGCCGAGGATTTCTAACAAAGCAGCACCAAGCAGCATTGATGTGGCTTCACTCCGGATTTGAAAACAAATGCATCTGCCAACAGACTTAACTCCCCAAATAATACAATATACTTCCCAATAGAAAAAAAATGCTAAAAAGGTTTCACAACACAAATATTTAAGTAATGATGTAACTGACTGAAGATCACCCTCACGCCCCACCAACAGGTATTAGCTTTAATTCCTTACAACGTTTCCTCCCCAACCTTTTCTCCAGGCTTTCTCCTCTCCCTTTGCCAACAAATAATCAATACAAGTGATAACTACGTTAGATTGCAAATTCCACATTTGACTTACTTGTTCTTTATTTGGAAGAAAGCACTGGTGGGAAACCCAAGCAAAGTGAGCCAGTTTTAGTTTATCTTCCCAGGAAGTTGTCTTGCTCTTAAGCTTCAGGGAAATGCCAGAATAAATAGCAGCCATCGTTAACACTTAATCTACAATTAAAAACAATGTATAAAAATATAAGGTCAAACTGAACAGTGCCAGCAAAAAAGCGCACTACATTGTTATTAGTAATTACTTTATTATCTTTCAGTCTCCATTTCTTTCAACATATGTCTTACGGAATTAAAACTGACAAAATCGTCAAGAAAAGCCTACACATACACTGCCTGATGCCACGCACCAAAGATGCCACACAACCACTCCTGCTCTCATCAAACACCATCTTCTCAGAGCTGAGTGACAAGACGTGCAATGTCAAACATCGGATTCGTTGTGCCGTCACTGGGACGTGGTCTGCAACGCACACAGTAAGCTTCCGCACCTATCTTCTAAAGCATTCATACAAAATAAGCAACAGGACGAAGTGTATCCACGCACCGCTCCCCCCCCCACCAAAATACCATCATGTCAGCTCCCACAGAAACTTCCCGCTTTAACTTAATTTTTATCCGTTCACACAGGTATGAATCTACAAAGATACTCACTGCTTTCAAAGAGGGGATACAGAAGAGACTACGCAAAGATTAAAATTGCGAGTAACAGAAGAAAGTTGCTAGTGATGAGTATAAAACTGCGGTGAACACGGTTTGGGGTTTCCTTAAGTCACGGCAGAAGCAGAAAATAGCAAAGGAATGTGCCATACCGAAGGCTGGATCACCTGCTCTTTTCCTGAATGCTCAAAACTCTCAGAACTTAAGCCCGGGTAGGGACCCAGGCACCTTGGCAGGCACTCGGGGGGCAAAAGCGTACCCGGGGATGGAAGATTCTCTCTCTCTCTCTGTCGTTCCAGTAAAAACAACTTTTAAAAACGGACAGTCACCACAGCGGTTACAAAGTGCCTAGGAAGCGCTTGCCGGAGGGGGTTAGCGAGTCCCCAAGGAACCCTCGTGAGGCGCACCAACATTCCGTTTTCCCCGCGCTCCTGCGGCTACGCTACTAGGCGCGGGGACGAGAGCACAGTCCTACGGGCTCTCCCGGCAACGGGCAGCCGCCGGCCAGGACGCCCAGAGCCGGTGGCCGGCGGAGAGCTCTCCGGGGCGGCCGGCCGGCCCGGCAGGACTCGCCCCGCGGAGGGTCCTTGAGCCTCAGTCCTCCGCGCACGACCGGGACGCAGCCCAGGCAGGAGGCCAGGCTCGCAGCCCGGGCCCGGGGAGCTGACGGACGGTCAGCAGCTCACCTGCAGCCCCGCTCCGTCCAGGTAGCAGCCAGCAGCCGGCCCTGGCTGCACGGGCGCCCACACCCCCCACCACGTGGGCTCAGCCTCTCCGCTTCTTCCGCCCGACGCCGCCGGCGCGACGGGGCGGGGCGGCGCGCACGCCAGGCATCGCCAGCCGAACGCCGAGGCGCCTCGCCCATTGGCGGAGACGGTTGCGCGTCGGGAGGCCCGAGCGGCCCAGCCCGTGGCCCGCTCCGTGTCAGTCAGTCATGGAGCGGCTGCCTGGAGTCGCCGCCGCGGGGGTGGCCGGGCGCGGGGCGCGCGGTCCCGGCTGAGCCGGCAGCCGTCGGAGCGAGACCCCCTGTGGGAGAGACGACGGAGACGGAAGCAACGCGACCCCACTGGCGGCGGCGGCGGGAGCCGGGGCCGCCTGGGATGTTCAGTGAGTGCCCGGGGGCGCGCGGGCGGGCGGGAGGCGGGGGCGCGCGGGCGGGCGGCAGGCGGGGGCGCGCGCGGCTCCCGCCGGCGGGCGGTGGGGGTGGGGCGCGGGTGGGGGCGGGGCGGCGGGCCGGCTGTGCGCGGGCGCGGCGGGCGCGCCTCTCCGCGCTCGGCCTCCCGAGTCCCCCAGGCGGCGGCCGGCACGGCGTGGCCCGCGGTGGGCAGGCGCACCTGGAAGGGGCCGCGCGTTCCTGCCCTTGGGTGGGTTGTGCCGCTCGGCTTGCGGGGTCGGGGAGCGAGGTGGGAGTAGGAAGCGGGGGAGGTGGAGGGTGGCGCCCACGAGGCGCGCGACAGCCGGGCGTGGGGAAAGCGCCGGGTCTTTTTCTCGCTGAAGAGAGGGTGTTGGGGGGGGGGGGACGGACGGGCAACGCCTTTGGGGCCAACTCCGGAGGAAAACTTCGCACGTGGTGACCCGTGCGTGGGAGGGTGTGGAGGCGACCTCCGCGAGAAACGCGACCGAGCTGGAGGCAGTCCGGCTGCTGGTCGGGGGATGTCCGCCTGCTAGCCGGCCTTTGGGGACTCCGCACCTCCTGACAGCGGGGTAGGGTTGGGTGCGCGTCAGGGAGGCTGAGTGGTTTGCCACCTGGAAGAGCTCCCCAGCTTTTGGGAATGCATTGGGGGGGCTAGCGGGGAGTCCGGAGAGTCCGGAGATGGTTCGAGACCAGGGTGTCATTTTAGACGCGGTGCAAGTGGACTACCAGGAACGCTGTAGGCAGATCTCGCACTGTGAAAGTCCTTACTGTTAGCCCTCCGGGTCCACCAGCTCTAGGGTTCTGGGACCAAAAGGTAAGTCCAGTGCGTGCAACTCTGACCTTGCAAGTGGAACGGTAACTCCCGCGCTCGAGCGGTTGGGTGCTGTGTTGAGAGAGCAGTGAGGGCGGAGTTTGTCTCCTGTTTGGGCGGCACAGGTGTTCTGTACACCTGGAATGTTAAAGCTAAATACCGCAAGGTGGACTTACCTTGTCATCAGTAATTCTTTAGATTAGTATATTTGGGGATAGTTTCATTTTTTTCTGCCCATAAATGTGAGTTTTCTGTGTGTGTCTATCACTGAAACTAGATGAAGGCCGTACTTTAATGAACTGCTGAATAACTTTTGTTTTCTGTAGATTGTGTTCCTACCCATGGGGAAAGGCAGGGGGTTTTGTTTTGCCCATTGTGCTTGAGCTGGACAGGGGACCTTAGGGATCATCTTGGGAGCCAGCATTCTCCAGTGGACAGCGCCGGAAGTCACGCTCCCAGCCACTGTGGCATGTGAAGTCACCTCCTCAGGTGGTCATTGTTCCTGTCATTTCATCCAACAAGCATGTGATGAGTATTCTCCGGGGAGTCACGTGGGAACTGTAGAATCCCCGAAGCATCTGGGTACTGTAACGGGGCAGAACGCAGAGCCTGGGACCAGATGGCGTGCATCTCCACCTTGGTGCTGTGTAGCTGTGGGTGGCTTTTCTGACTGCTTTCCCGCTGGAAGACTGTTACCTGTCCCAGGGTCGTTGGGAATTCAAGGGGCTCATCCGTGTGAAGCCATAAAGCAGGGTCTTACTCTCTGTTGGCGTTAAGTGTTAGGTGTCTGGTGGCAGTTAGGAAACAGGCCAGAGTAGCATGCACTGTGGTAGAGGTTTGTTCCTGGGTTTGGTGAGTGAGCTTTCCCCTGTGAGTAAGGAAGCTGGGGAAGGAAAAGATGGCTGGGAAGCCAGAGGTTTTCCCAGTGCAGGTTGGACAGCCAGTGTTTCGGTGCCTTCACCAAATGGCTGGGCCTTGTCCAAAGCTGCAGGGATGAGATTATGGGCTGAGGCTGGAGAACTGAGGATTGGTCTAGTTAGCTGAGTAAAGACAGATCATAATAACCTTGATATGGGACCCACGCAATAGCCAGTGGCTAAAGTCCTTGCCTTGCATGCATCAGGATCCCATAAGGGTGCCAGTTCGTGTCCTAGCAGTTCCACTTCCCATCCAGCTCCCTGCTTGTGGCCTAGGAGAGCAGTGGAGGACAGCCCAAAGCCTTGGGACCCTGCACCTGCATGGGCGACCTGTAAGAAATTTCTGGCTCCTAGCTTTGGATCAGCTCAGCTCTGGCCCTGGCAGCCTCTTGGGGAGTAGTGAACCAGTAGACAAAGATCTGCCTCTCTCTCTCTCCTCTCTGTAAAATCTGACTTTCCAATAAAAATATATTTTTAAATAAGTTAAATAAAGTAACAGGATTATTACCCTTCATTTAAAGAAAATAGAACTAAAATAACCTTGACATGAGTGGTAGGGATGCTCTTTTATCCTGCATACAAGTGGAGATAGTAGACAGTATTTTGTTGTTGTTGTTGTTTGAAGATTTATTTATTTTATTTGAATGTCAGAGTTACGTAGAGACATTGATCTTCCGTCTGCTGGTCCATTCCCCACATGGCTGCAGTGGCCAGGGGTCAGGCCAAGGCCAGGAGCTTCTTTTTGGCCTCTCCCACAGGGTGGCAGGGGCCCAAAAGCCTTGGCCGTCTGCCACTGTTTTTCTGAGGCCATCAGCAGAGAGCTAGATCGGAAGTAGAGCTGTCAGTTCACAAACCAGTGTCCACATGGGATGCTGGCGTCACAGGTGGGCTGATTTACTGCTCTGCTGCAACGCCGGCCCCTGGAGGAAGTTTTCTAGCTGAGGCCAGTTGGCATCAGATTAGCTCTTGGGGAAGATAGTGCCTGTGGTAGTGCGGTAGTCCGTTGAAAGCAGGGGAGGCCCCTATGTTCCAGCAGGCTGTGACTGCAAAAGGCAAATGAGAGCTTAGGGAGCACATTCAGAAGGCCAGAAGAAGCTGATAGACGATTCCAGGCAGTATGGACTGCACATGTCTGAGTGTAAGGCAGTCTTCCCCAGAAGTCTCGCTTTGGAAAGAAGAGGCTGCCTGCATTGAGACGCCCCTGCTATAGGACACACTGAGTTGCTGTGTTTTGAATAACAAGGTGCTGCTTAGGAAGGACAGATAGAATCAAAACTACTTTGCCTGATAACAATTTGGGATATTTGGTCAATCCGTCTTACAAAAACAGTTACACAGAACAGATATGGTGGTTATTCCCAGGGTGTTACCTCACAAACTGCAAGTGTTAGATGCTGGTAGCAGGAGCATTGCAGAATAAGGGTGGGAATCAATACAGCAAGTATTGAAGAAGAAGTTCTACCCACCTGTGTGGGTGTTGCTCATTAGGACTGAGACTCCGGCCAGAGCATCATGCGTGGAGAGAGGCTCTGATGTAACTGACTTGGTAAATGAGGAGGAAAACACGATTTGATGATTCATAGTTAATTAATCCGTGGTCCCTGGTATTGATGATATGTGTGGAGAATGGCGCAGAATTGTTTGATGTACCAAAATATCACCTTATATATATTTGTAATACGAAAATAAGTTAAAAGTTGCAACTTGACTGTCATCAGTCAAATTTCAAAGAATTTAAGTTGACCTTTTTTTTTTTTAATTCTCTTTATAGTGGAAGGTTTCAGTCTCAGAAGCAAGGCTGCCTTCATTGAGTGTCTGATAAAAACTAACCACTTTGTTTCTCTGTTGAGGCAAAATCTTTGGTTCTTTAGCATCAGTACTTAAAAGGCGGTAATACTAGTATGGTTTAGAAAATATTTTAAAAGTCCATAATAATTTGTTCTCCAAAAATATACATTGACCTGTGAATCTTGTTTTAAAAAACTTTTTTTTTTTTCTAAAAGGCAGAGTTGCAGTGAGAGAAGGTGAGGCAGAGATCTTTGCTCTGCTGGTTTACTCCCCAAATGGTCATAACAGCCGGAGCTGGGCCAGGAGATTCCTCTGGGTCTCTTGTGAGTGCAAGGCCCAAGCACTTGGGCCATCCTTCTCTGCCTTTCCAAGCTCGTAGTCAGGGACCTGAATAAGGAGTGGAGCAAGTGAGATATGAACCATCTCTGCAGGCGAAGGACCAGCTTGCTGCACCACAGTATCAGCCCCCTGTGTGTATCTTACTGGCTTTACCCTGTTGTCAATGATAAAAGGTAGTTTGTGTTTTACAACAACAAAAAAAAGACTTTTGGAGATTTTGTAATAGTAAAAGTGTTTTTGCAGCACTTGGTAAATTTAGAAAATTTCTCTAAAAAATTTATTTACTTAAAAGGCAGAGTTACTGCTGACATGATGGCTCAATGGCTAAATCCTCACCTTGCATATGCTTGGGTCCCACATGGATGCCAGTTCATGTCCTGGCTGCTCTGCTTGCCATCTAGCTCTCTGCTTATTGCCTGGGAAAGCAGTAGAGGATGGCCCAATGCTGAGCTGATCCGAAACCAGGACCTTCTTCTAGGTCTGCCACGTAGGTGGCAGATCTTTGTCTCTGTCTCTCCTGCTCTTTTTAAATCTTTCTGCCTTTCCAATAAAAATAAACAAATCTTTAAAAGAAGAGAAAGGAAGAGTTACAGAGAGTAGGAGAGAAAGAGAGAGATCTTCCTTAACTGCTGGTTTGTTCTCCAAAATGGCCATAATAACCAGAGCTGGACCCTTCTAAAGCCAGGAGCTTCTTCCTGCTCTCACGTGGGTTCAGGACCCAACCAAGCATTTGGGTCTTCTTGCACTGTTTTTCCAGGCACATAAGCAGGGAGCAAGATTGGAAATGGAGCAGTCAGGACTTGGACCTGTGCCCATAGGGGATGTCAGTGCCACAGACAATGGCTTTTTCCACTGTCTCAGTGCTGGCCGTTATAAAATTAAGTTTTTAAGCTAAGGTGCTGATGCTTTAGTTTCATAAAGTTATAACATTCTATAAAACTGTTGTCCAATGACAGTAACTATTGACCACTTGGCCACATGTAGCTGCTTAAGTTTGAACAATTCAGTTCCTCATTTGCACTGTCCATATGGTAATTGCTCAATAATCTTACGTGTTTAAAGCAGGCTTAGAACACTTTCCTCATTGCCTGAAGGTCCCTTAAACAGTAACACAGTA